TTTTGGCAGTTTGACCAGGAAATATGAAAATATCATTTTTACTCAAAAAAATGTTACTCTTGTTTAGTTTAGATAGTACTCGCCATTTTCGAAATAAATCATTTAAAAGTCTGTATAGCGTATATAATAAAAATAGTATACATTTTCCATATCATATTATTGTTCAATTCATCCTTTTTATTGCACCCCTCATATTTTTAATCAAACATCGGGAGTAGATCTTGATAATTAGGCGTATTTTCCATCACCACGATATTCATGACGATGCAGAACTTTTGAATCGATTTATCTCGAGAATGGTGAATGCTATCGAAACTGAACAAGAGTACCATTTTTGAGTGAAAATGTTGAGATTTACATATTTGCTGGTCAAAGTGTCGAGAATTGCATGAACAAAAAAGTTGGGAGAAAAGTGCACCTGGACGTACCTATTTCCGACGATCCTGATTAAAATTTCGGAAATTTCAGAACACTTCCGAATCGGTCATAAAAAGTTGGGTATATGTGCAGTTTCGGAAATATTCGTTCGTTTGTTCTTAAATTTTAGTATTCTGAGATCGGGTCAGTTTCTTAGATCTTGAAAAGAATATACCTAGTTACCTACCAACTCAAACAGTGAATACTGAATTATAGTTATTCATCATAATAGAATTCTGAAAAAAATACCTGATCTAATCTAACATATTATGCAAGAAGCTTCAAGTAGCTTATTTATTTTTATTTGAGGCTGGAATGTCTCTCATAAATAATGTTCGAGACCTTTTCAATTGCAAATTTGAAAAAGAAAACTCCTAACATTCCGCTGATAATCGCGAGATGCTAGAGAAGCTAGTGAAGCTGGTGGAATAAAAAACTTATACTCAGAGCAACTCATAGACCATACTATTATTTCGTTTGAAAAAGTATAATAGATTCAAATCAGAAGAAAATGAAAGAATTTCACATTACAAATTTCATTCCGGTTTCAAACGAACTTCAAAAGAACCGATAGCGCGCGTCGTATGTTTTTTGCTGGACTTGCTCCAATAAACTATGGAAATGCTGTGCTAATAATATGAGGTAAAATTTACGTTTCAGTGAGAAGATTAATTTTTTTTTTGATTTTTTGAAAAGACTGGAACTTTTTCTAACTCATAAAAATAAGTGTCTGTCTTGCTCGGATCATCATGAGCAGCACTAGTTCGTGAAGTAACGAAATTATATCAAGAAATGTATCTGTTCCATCATCATCATTTCGCAAAAGTATTATGTGAAATGTGAAAGTTTTCAATTTTCAATGGTTATTACTAGATATATGATGGTCATGATCCGATAACGGATGATCGTATAGGTAATGGTTTTATAAATTTTCATTGTTTCGAGAAAAAAAAAAGCGCGCGAGCATTCGTCATACGTCAATTATAATACTCGTGTCCATTATCAATTTGACAAAAGAATATAAATTATTCGTTATCGGTATCGTTATGGTTAATGGGCATGAATCATATTCGAATACAATGTAACACAATTGCGGTGTCAGAAAGTTGAAAATTTCCCGTCATGCAGCATGCATATATATAATTTGTTAAATTCGTTAGGTCCAACGATAAACGTATGCAGTTCGATCAATAGATCTTGGCATTTTCTTGAGATATGGCCGTTGATGATATTGATGAAATATCGAGAGCTGCAATCATGCTGAGTGCAAAGAAATATGCTTTTCTGCAACCGACTCAAATCCACTTAAATTCCAAAATTAGCTCTTGAAGTTGACGTTTCTATTGGTATATTGCTATTAGGCAACACTTTCAGTTCCTAGAAGCTGAAGTCAACTTCAGCTCCTAGGAACTTGAGAGGATGTACTAGGTCACCAAGAATATACAACATAGCTAGTATTTATTATATTCAACAAGAAACTCAAAACACAATTATATATTTAGTCTAACTAAAATTCAAATATCCTTGCAAATTTAATAAACCTGCACATGTTGCAAACAATAGTTATTTGTTTAACTAGGCAGCAAAGTAGTAGCTTTAGCTGGATTCCTAGCCTCGCTACGATCGGCTATGAATTCAGCCTCGGCAGTCAATCTACTTTGCTGCCGAGTTGAACATATAATTTTTTCTCCGATTGTTCATAATGATATAGGTGGATATTGTAATTGCAAGTTATTACAATTCCCACAATCTCTTTATTTTTCCTGTAGTGTTCAATTAAAATGAAATTTGATAGAAATCGCAGTTGTCCATGATAATTATAGTTTGACAATTCATGAAAATTCTGACAGTTGTGCGAAAAAATAACGGTATATTCAAATTATTATATAATGGACAGTGATAGCGACCTGGAAGTACTTACACCTCCAGAAATAAGGGAGGTGGCAAAAAATATAGAGTTGAATTTTTTGCCGGAGAAGTCTCGAATGAAATATGGAGGAAATTATGAACGATTTATGGATATTTAATTTTGCTGATACATATCAATCAGCAAAGTAAACACTTTGCTGCCTAGGCAGGAAAAGTAATACTTTGCTGATTGATATGTGTCAGCAAAATTAATATTTGCTGCCAATCGGAGAAAATTTTTTTTCTACGATCGTAGTATATTATACATATCTGTTTTACGAGTGTTCACTAACAGCTGCGCCTCGGCTGGTGAACTGTTCTCTCGCTCGAGTAAAATACTATACTTTTTCTACAAGGCCATTTAAATCATTATACAAAAAACCCAAGTTCCATGATAGAAAAAACATGAAGGACCCGAATCGAAGGGTATTTTTTTGTAGCTCCTTATTAGCTTGGAACATTTGAATAGAAATTAATTTTTTTTATTCGTTTCAGTATCTCGAGAGTTGTAAGGTTTACACTCAGGTCAAGTGTTGGTTTTTTGATAGGTTATGAACTTGTTTATCACCAGCTACAGCGAGCTAGGGTATATTATGATCTATGGTTTACCGGACAAATATGTTATTTTTCAAAATGATACGTATAGATTTCGAAAATTTTATAACATACAGGGTGTTTGTTCTATTTGAAATAAGAATGAGGTACCCGACAAACCCTGTATGTATAGAATACAAATGATCCACACAATATAGTCCATATTTGACGAGTTATCATCATGCAATATTACGAATTCAACAGTATACCAGGTTCAAGGTTCATAAACGACAACTTCACTACGCCCAATAAGAATAACATAAAAATATCCAGTGGCTTATCTACCGGGGAGGCAAATAAGGCAACCGCATTTTTAAAGTTACGCCGCAGTGATTGCAAATACATCAATATACAATGTGCCCAAGATAAGGAGGACCATTTGACAAAATGAAGTTGATTGGCTGCTCAAAGACGAAACATTGGATCAGAAGTTGCCATGAAGATGTGTTTTCAGTTTTGTCATAACTTAATTATCAACGCCAGATGAAGAATTTAAAATCCCGATATCCAGTTTTTTTGGAAATAACTGATAGACGAAAAGTCATATCAGAGATTTTTTAAAGTCATTTTGTTGGTCCTTCACTCACGCAACTTTTCTTCCATTTATATAACCTTGGGCACAGTATATATATATATGTACACTGCGATTCGAAGCACGGAACGGCAAAGGCCTGAAACATACTATATTCGGGTCGATTCTGTTTGCAAATAGCAATATGGATAGCAAAATTCAAAAAGTGGAATTCTAATCAAAGATTTTTTGCAATATGATCTGTCAATTTCAATGACATCTTGTTAGCTTTCTTGCTACCTCGGCAACATCAATTTTGTGCTTCCTTTCTCATAACAAGTAGTGGATTCTTTGTTTTTGCACTACAATTTCTTCCAAGTGTTTGAAAATTCAGAAAAAAGGCGATTGAAAACATATGAGAGTTTGAGAGTTCACTTGTGTTACTATTTGGAAACCTTTCCTTAAAATTTCAATTTATATAGAGGAATTATAGAAAAATTTAGAATGATGACTATAAACACATAGGAACAAGTGAACCTAACTTGTGTGACCAAGTACCGACTTGAAAACCTTTTCTTGAAGTTTTTTTTTATCGCTTGAAGCGCACGAAAGGAAATCCCTATAATGTTCAAAGAACATCGTGCGTTCCTAGGGAGGATAGGAACAGGAGGTAGATATAGGAAGTTTTTTTGAACTTCTGGAGTTTATAATAATATGTTGTTGGGAATACTTCTTCAGGCAATGAATTCCAGAGCTTTGCCGTTCTATAAATGAAGGAGTTTTGATAAAGTGCTGTTCGACATCTTTCAAGGTTGACAACGAAAGGATGTGCTGACTGGGCTTGTCTAGTTCGTCTGACTGGTATTGCTAGTGAGGGGATGATAGCTGAGATTTCCGAAGAACATTTCCCGTGGAAGTATCCAGTATTTGAAACCAGCAAACCATTTGAGTTGCCTGATGAGTTGTTTATCAAGCTATTTCGCTTGAATAAGCCAGCAACGTGAGTTTTTCCCGGTTTTTCCGGTTATTTGAATCAGGTTCATTCCAAAAAGAAAACACGATCATTTCCATCCGTCTTTTGGTTGTTTTCTTATTTCGGGGACATGATTGATTACTTGCACCAGTCGCACAACGACGACCAGATTCAGCAAATACAAAATCTCTCAATTTGAACAATATAATTTTGTAAAATAGTACAGGACAGACTAATTTGAGAGGTTAGATCATCATGAACTCTTCTTCTTCATAAAATAATGGCAAAATCGATACCAAACACTTTGAAAATGAGTTGAAAACAGTGTTGTCAGCTCAAAAATTCTCAATTTTTATGATCATAACAATATTATTATTTTAGCAATGTTTTAACAAGATCCGAACAGAATCGACCCGAATATTGTAACTACATTTTAGGGAATGGATCCCTAAACTGTGACGTGACTATACAATAGGGACCAATTTATACTGCGACTCAATATCATTCTCTTCATTTTCTGACTAACTATATCACAACTTAGTCAAATGGATTTCAATTGTAGTGTTTCTAAATATTCCGTGAAAATATTAACCTTACCTCATGGATGGCCATAAAACGAACTCGGAAACGAACTGATGAATACTATTTTGTCACTTTTTTAGCCCATAAGTACACTTATCAGAGATACAAAAGTCGATAAGTGTCCTTATCTTTTTCAATGTGCTTCATTGCATTTTTTTCATATCTATGTAATCTCCATTCGGCTCCACCCTGAAGGTATTATAAAATCTTCTGAAATTGAACGTTGAAAAAAAAAATGTTGATTCGAAATAAAATATATCTCTACTCGTATCACAAATATTCAATTTCTTGATATTGTTAATTTTAACACGGATTTTCATTATGAAGATTTTAGCTGATAAAAACATGTACTTTTCATTATAAAACGCATTTTCGTTCTATAGAAACTCAAACTTCAGGATGATATATAAGCGGTCTATATGAATTCTGATTGTCACCGATGTAATAAAATACGAAAATGACAGTTGACAGGTCGGACAAGACTATTGTTATGTGTTTGAGAAGTTGTGTTGCCATGGGCTTGTTTAATTTTTTGAATAAATCACCGATCGTTAATCCGTGATTAATTCATGATTAAGCGTAGTACATATCCGTACGCTAAATGCCATTTTAGTTATTTGAGTAGAAAAAGAGCATTATGTACAGTGATGCCCAATATATAAGTAACGACTCTTGTGAAAATCCCTTTAAAAATTCGGTGTATGCACCCGGACTAATATCTATTAAAGCCGCCCGCTGTTTCAATAACTTATTTCTTATTGTGGTTTGTGGTACGAGATTGTCAGGTGTATCTCTGAATATTTCTAAGATTTCGGGCTAATATTCACATCGCCAGAGTAATATTTTCTACTTCATCTAATGAAGCTGACTAAAAAAAAAATGACCAGCATCATCATCGTTATTCATTGTTCGATTCTAGTTGATATGAAATAGATAAAGAACTTGTTGAATATAAAGCGGTATCGGTATAATTTCTTTTTCAAATTAGAGTTTGTCTTTAGTGTATCCTTCAATTATTTTTCCTCGAAATCATATTTCTTGATCGTTCTTTATACATTTTTCTCTGAATTTGATGGTTTTGCGAAGAGAAAACGGTATACACCCTATTAACTTGAAACGCGATTATCTACTTCCAGGAATTCTAATTTTCATTTATTTCGAGTGTCTCAAAAACGCGCAGCGACAAATAAATTCTTCTTTTTTCAATGGGATACGTTGAATATTATTGCATTCTCAGATTCTACGATTCTAAGTTTGTTAGATTTTTTTTATATAACAAAAGTTTATAGTTTCGGAATTATGAACAATAATTGTAAATTGATATTTCGACTATTTCAATACCAGTTCAGTGAGGAAACATTTGGAATAGTATAGCACTGACAAATATAGCCATTTTCATTCGTCTCTTAACCTACCATACATATTTTATTTTCTGAGTGGTCATCGCTCCGAAAAATTCGATGGTTTTGCGGTTTTCAACCTCACACACTGTAATTAGGTTTGTAAATTCTAGCAAAAATCAGGAAATCTCATTAGAAACGTTTTTCGAGAAGTATGTGTTTATACTTATATTTATTTCAATCAATGTTAATTAAAATATCAAACGTGAGTAGTATGCTGTCGTAGAACTGGTTAAAATAAAAATTAGTAACGAAACATATTTTTTCATCTCTTGAAACGTTCGAACCTATATATTCGTTCTATATAAATAGTGTTTGTTTAAATACTATAACTCTTCATCTATATTTGATATTCGTAGTTTCCGAGATCTAGTATTATAGACATAATACTTGAATTCGTGATTTAGTGATTTATAAGATCTGAAAATTCAGAGACGTAGGTATTCAATATTCTTAGTTCTCAGATTTCCTCCAAAGAAATATGTAAACTAATATCACAAAACAATTAATAATCATCAATCTACAACGTAACTTGTCTACCTATAGAGTGAAGAAATAATACTTGTCGGTCTGTCGCTTGATACTTCCTGTAAATTAACATAAACTTGTAGACCAATGCCTTTAAAGGCTCGACTCTAATTCATAGAGATTTGTGGTTTATTTAAATTTCATTGGTTTACACATAATTCACCCTTTGAAGGACAGGATTTAAGAATTATGATTCGATTTTCATATCATTCATTAGTCTATTTCGTTCTGATGAGATATTTGTGAATTCGTGATATTTTTATAATTTCAAACTTTGCTATTGTTCTTGGAAATATCTCATCATTTGAGTGATTACCAAAAATCGAGTATTAACCAAATTGAATAATGGTTGGTCTAATATAAGGAGAGTTTGGGACGAACTTCCTGACGATTTGACAGCAAATGTGATTCAATCTATGCCAAATCAATTGTGAAAAGTTATATATGCAAATGGTTCTTATACTAAATACTGACAGTATTCGACAGTGGCGTAGCACTCGATGGAACCGGGAGTGAGTAGAACTTCCTTATTCATAATGGACCATCACAAATTTCTTCATAATTTCGATTCATTTTTATTATTCTATGATATAAACCGTGATAACATTCTTTAATTCATATTTTGAAGCGTTCAGCATTAATATTTTTAGAAATGTATTATTTTCAACAGTGACATTTGAACATTTTGATTGAAATTTCATTGCCAGATAGAGATTCATTCCGATCAATTGATCATATACAGTGTGTCCACTGTAATAGCGTACCACCCCTGTAAAATCATTATTATATGATCGATTCTGAAAACATTGTTTTTATTGGATAGGTATTTGGAATTCTCATCCAACAAGAAAATTGATTTTATTCTTGAACTGTTTCCATGGCTAAATGTGAACAATTTTATTGAACCATACTTCAAAAAATACAATGAGGGATTTTTTCACTAAGAATACCGATGGATTTTGCATCAGGGTATTTCAAAACATACCTATACCAATTTTCATCATCAAAAAACATAGGGTGTTCCAAAGAACGATTTATTATTATTTTTTAATACTCGATCAGAAGATTTAGTATACTATGGCATAATTGGGTAATGACAAATTATTATTGAGGACCTACTTCAAACATATCTGTACCGATTTTTATAATTCGAATATCCAATGTGTCTAAGAAAAAAGAATAAGTAGGCAATATTTTTTATCATGATAGTTCTTTTCCTAGAAAGTAATGACGGATTCTCATTCAAGATCACTCGGAACATACCTGTACTGATTTTCATCATCATAAAACGTTTTTTATCTTCACATTTATGTATATTTGAATGATAATAATCAAGACCAATATGTTTGAAGTCCTCAATATTAATTCGACATCAGTTCTTCCCAAAAATACCACAGTACCTACTATATTTTCTGATCAAGTATACAAAAAAATAGTAATCCGTATTTTCAGACACCCTATACTTATATGTTCTATGATGATGAAAATCGGTACTGGTTTATTCTGAGTGATCTCCGTACCGAATCCATCATTAGTTTCAGTGAAAAAAAGCCTAAATAGTGATTTTTGAAATATGGGTCAATAAAATTGGTCGCAGTTGGCGACGATACAAATTTAAGAATACCATAACTTTTTTGTTGGATGGATATTTCAAATACCTACACAACATAAAAAGTTTTTTGGAATCGATAAAATAATACGGATTTTACAGGCGGTGGTAAATTCTTTAAGTGAACACACGGTATATATAGCACGCGGTCACCGAAAGTAACACAACATAATACCAAAATGTTTGATGTGTATTTTTGACTGTGTTTTCGATAATTCTTCTTTATAGCTGATCGATATTTATTTGTGCTGATAGATTCAACAGTATTAAATATAATTTTGGTTTTTAATAGTTATTTATTATACAAGGGAAAAAAGTAGTAGATTTCAGCTCCAGGTTGTGGACAAAAAACCGTGAGCTGAAATCTAATATTTTTCCCTTGTATAATACACTATTTTTTTCTGTGACAGAAGGAAGGACGAATCAATATTGAGAAGATATTACATTATTTCGAAATCTGAAAATTATCGACGTGAAATTTCAAATTTTTAACAGTAGGGACACCTGCGTTTTATAGACATCTTTATCATTCTTTCGAAGTAATCAAATATCTGATGTCACTTCTGTCAGTTCAATTCTGTGATTTGATTTTGAAAAATTGCGAATTCAGTAGTTGTTTAGTAATATACGAAACCGCGAAGTCGAATGGAATGAAAGGACTTGCAGTTCTTTCTCGAAGACGGTATTATTGACTCATTTTTCGGAACTATAGGACAACAAAAGCCATTAACAGAGTATATATATGTGATATATATCCTGGAAAAAAGTACTCACTTTTTTCCCACGGGAATAAAGTAATTCATGAAAGGTGACATTTTATAACTTGCCAACAGAGATGAAATGCCAAACTTTTTTTCTGTCACAGAAAAAAATCTATTTTACATGGTGATAATAATCATACTGTAGATATCCCTGTTTATGGAATTCATATTTCCACTCCAAAGTGCATTATGTGAACCAGTTCTCTCTAGTGAGAAATCATGATTTTCAGTGTTTCAGTTAGGTATAGAGAAAATCATTTTTGAAAATATTCTCGAAAGTCGTAATTACTCCGAAAAAGTTGAAATTGGTATAATAAATCACCTGATATATTTTATGGTTCATATCAGAGTAATATATAGAATCAAAAATGTAGAAAAACGTGGTGCTCTATTAGAAATAAGGGAATTCTATTTACCTCCCGTATTTGGAAGTGCGCTATGCCAGATTAATCCTCGGATTTACCCAAAATTTTCAGAGATTTTTTCAACTCAGCATAATTTTGAAAATGAATGGACTACCTGAATATACCTATATTATATAATTCAGTTCTATATATTCATAATTTTATTACAATTTTATTGATCGTTTCCTCCTGGTTATACAGGGTGTAATTTAATTGATATAGTTAAAAATATAGGATATAATTCCTTACCTCATTTTGTGAAGAAAAGTTGATATGAACATATGCCCTGAAACTAGTTCTTGTTCAGTATATTGAAGTTAATCTTTCTTGAAAATTCCAACATCCTATAGC